GGATTGGTTTAAAAATTTTACTAACCGATTAAATTGGATTGGATTAAAAAATGTTAAAATCCGAACCAAACCACCCCGCGAACACCCCTAGCAGCCATTAACTCCGTCCACTTAGCAATTTACTAAGGAAGCACGGAGGCTAATCAGATTCAATCGGTTTCATCTATAAGTATGTTAGTTTTGTTTTGATATATCTCTATGTACATGAATGTTCTTAAGTGCGTAGAAATGGTTTTAACTTTTAAATTAATATGGTTACCAAAAATGATACATGATCACCTGCTCCTTCTCTCATTAAATCTTTTGTTATTTTCTTTTTGGGGCAAACGAAAAATGTTTTATGCATGGTTAAGCATTTTATACAGAATAACACAGGAGTAGCTGCATCAATGATTGTGCCTGAGGTACTTAAAGAAGATAATTATGAAAGGTGGTGCATTTTCATGCAACATTATTTAGTGGCTCAAGACCTTTGGGATGTGGTTCTATCAAATGAGATGCTTCATGGAGAAGACTCAAGGGAATCGATTAAAAGGAATGCCTTAGCTTTGCATACAATTAAGATTTCATGTGGAGCAAAAAAGTTTGATGCGATTAAGGAGATGAATTCAGCAAAAGATGCTTGGAATGCATTGGCTGACTTGTATAAACAACCAAATGGAGAAGGGAACAAAGATACAGGTATATTTTCCATCCCTAGCTATCTGTCTAACGTATGTAGTAATCTTTTTCTTTTTTCTTTTTTTTTTTTGGGTTTGAACATGGGGAATTTGGGGTAATTAATTAAGGGGATTTTTTCCAAGTAAGTGGTGTGAATAGAACTCTTATTTACTTGGACCCAAACTCTTAGGCTTAGCAGTTAACCATTAGGCCCGTTGGGTTGGTTCAATCTCTCTCCTGTTTGTTAATTTTAATATTGCCTCAGAAAATAATCATATCTTATAATCCTTTGCAGGAATCAAGACTGATGAAAGGAAACAAGCCTGTATCTTTGTACAGAGTAATGCAGGGGTAGCTGCATGCATGATTGTGCCTGAGGTTCTTAAAGAAGATAATTATGAAAAGTGGCGCATTTTCATGGAACATTATTTAGTGGCTCAAGACCTTTGGGATGTGGTTCTATCAAGCAAGATGCCTAATCATGGAGAAGACTCAGGGAAGTGGATTAAAAGGAATGCCTCAGCCTTGCATGCAATTAAGATTTCATGTGGAACAGAACAATTTGATCGGATTAAGAAGCTAAATTCAGCCAAAGATGTGTGGAATGCATTGGCTGATTTGCATAAACGGCCAAATGATACAGGTTTATCCATCTCTCTCTCTCTCTCTCTCTCTCTCTCTCTCTTTTTATATATATATATATATATATTTGTCTAAAACACAGAGCAGTCTTTGCAGGAATCAGGACCATTGAAAGGAAACAAGCTGTGACATTGCTCAAGGATATAAGAAAGGGGAATTCTGCTGCTGTAAAAGAACTCTTTGAAACCCATTCTCAGTATTCTGCAGCATTAATAGAAAACGGTTCCACTGCTCTTCACGTTGCAATTACTGCCGGCAAGATAGAGTTGGCTAAGGAACTGATTTCAGTGATGTCAGAAGAACAGTTGGAAACAAAAGATAAGAGCGGTAAGACGGCTCTTTCCTTGGCTGCTTGTAAGGGAAGTACAGAGATAGTAGAATGTTTGGTTGCAAAGAACAAAAAATTGCTTGAAATGCCAGATTGCGAGAAGAAGATCCCACTCGTATTGGCATGTGCGACACACCATAAGTGTTTGACTCTTTATCTTTATTCAGTGACACCTATTGAAATTCTAGATCCAGTAAATGGGGACCATCTATTCTTCCTTCTGAGAGAGTGTTTAAGGAACCATATGTTTGGTAAGGGCTGCGTGTAAATTTTAATTATTATTATTATGTTTTCTATTTCTCTTTTCTCTGCTTTTTAACTCTCAAACAAACTGTATTTGAATCAGATATTGGACTGAATCTTCTGAGCCGATTTCCAGATTTGATATTTCACAAAAGCTCTTTGGAACCAACCCCTATTATTTCAGAGCTGGTCCAAATGCTATCACCATTGTTTGCTGGGATTTGGTACAAGCCTCTTCCATTTTGGGAATGGCCATTTGGTGGGTACGCCTTTCTTCTCTCTTTAAATTTTCAATTGAATTTCTCCATGGATATATTTTAATTCTATTTTTTTGATCTTATATATTTGAATTTTATTTTTCGCTGTAAAAGTTGATAACCACTTACTTTCAAATGTCTAATTCCATGTTTAAAGGTCTAATGTTCAAATCTCATAAAAATTAATTAAGGACCAATTTCTTTGCGGATATATATATACACACACACTCACACTAAAGAAACTTATTCCATTATGATAAATTATGCTTCACAACATAACTGGTCAGACTGCTTTCATTTAGCTGCCAATTTTGTAGTGTTCACTTTTTATATATATATATATTTAGAAAATACAGTAAGTTTAGTTAGTTTCCTA